GAAAAACACGACGATCTTTAACGAAACTTAGCTTGATCTTCTCTTTTTCCTCTTCTTCTCCTCTTCACTCTTAAACCCTTACTTTCACTCTTTAAAAATGAGAAAAACTGATCAAAATCAGTCCAACACACTCATATATATCCAAAAGACAAGGCTAGGGAAACGACCAAAATGCCCTTACAAATTTCCGGACAGATTCCCTGCCAACTGCCCAACTTTCAAAGGGCATAACTCGCTCATACGAACTCAGAAATGAGCAAACTCGATGGCGTTGGAAAGACCAATCCAAGAAATTTGCAACAATAACTGGAACCACACCTAGATCATCCTGAGTTAGGAGTTATAACTGTTCAAAGTTGGCCAAAAATTCATTATTTTCCATACTTTCCAGATTTTTAATTCCTTCCAAAAATGACTATTTCCAATTCTAAGTCTCTTCATAGTTATTTCAAATTGTCGGATGTTACAAAATCACTATACCCTTCTTTTATACATCAATACAACTTCATATATTCTTTGCCAAGATCACCAAGCTTCCCACCATCAACAATACACATAAATCAATCATTAACAACCTTAAACAAATCCTACATCAAAATAGGAGAATATTGAGTTCAAGGATTCTGATCCACTCATGAGTTCTTGACAAAAATATACAAAATTCTCCTCCTAAACTTGTATTTAAGGAATGACACAAATGGGAAGTAGCCTTACCTCAATTTCTGTAACTTGTCCTTTGACTTGAATTCTTCAAGAACTTCAACTTCTCTTCACACTTATATAAAAGGAGAAGAGAAAAATCTCTTAATAACCAAGAAAAGTGAGCAGTTAGATTGTGGAAAAATTCTGCTCTATACTTATACTTAAGCATGAATAATATATTTTTCTAGTCTTTATTGAGAGAATTAAGTTAAATCCATAAGTATTTTCTCTTACCTTGGTTTGCAGATATGAGGGTTTCTTCAAGGATCCTAGGAGAAATTTTAAGACTATTATGTTAAGCCTTGAGAGAAATGGAGATATCTGGAGTTAAATCTGACTTTTTTTTAAGTGTTAAAATGAGTGAAAAGACCAGCTTATGTTGGTCTTAGGGAGCCTTCTTGATCCTTGAAAAAAAAAATCCTCTAGAACTTACCTTTTTTTTGCTCCATTTTCGGCCACCTAATAGGTAATACACCTACTTGCCTTTTTCTTAGTTGGGCTTAACTAGATTGGACCTTGGCAAATTTGAATGTTGGGCACTTTTTCATTTTTTTCCCTCTTACCCAGTTTGGGCCTCAAATGAGTCCATTGACATAGGCCTAAATCTGATCCACTAGCCTTGAGCCCTTTAATTAGATCTATAAAGCTCAAGTAGGTGATGCACCTAGTAGCGTAATTAAGTCAAACAAGCAGCTACCAATTTTATTTATTTTCTTAATCTTAATCTCTTTTGCCTTATAGCTTAACACTTAACTTTGAACTTTAAGCTCAATTATCACTTTACTATCTTGAGTTTAAATACTTTCATCTAGGATAACTTGGCAGTATACATACTGAAATGTGTGGGGCATTACAACACATTCCGATCTAATTCAAATTATCACTGCTCATATAAGAACCTTGGTCCCTCACCTATACGATAAGGCTATGTCAAGTATCATATAAATAGAATCAACATATGAATAATACGGGGTGTTACAATGGTGATGGTGGAAGAGGAGGAGAAGAAGGTGGTGGAGGAGTAAGAGGAGGAGGTGTTATTGACGACATAAGGGTGGGGAAGTAGCAGTGGCGGACCCAGAATTTTCACGAAGTGGGTTCAAGATATAAAAATATACCTAATATTATTTGTAATTTTTATGAGGCTAACAACATACATATCTGACTATACTAAACAATGTTAATACATTTGAAAAAAAATTACATTGACTTATGAATGAGACGGTAAATGACAAGATGGACGAAAAACTAGGCTTCAATATAAACTAAGAAGATAAAAGAATATTATGAATGATTTCTCTTCATTCAACATTTAACAAATAAAAACAAAATATTAAACAAAATAATTATAACCTTAATTTCATAATCGAATACATAGAAATATACCTAATATTATTTGTAATTTTTTGTTGATTTTAGAATGATAAGGGATTTTTTAGTTGAAGAAATAAAAAATAACCACAATAATCATATATGTATATATAAAAGACTAGAATCAAGAGCGAAAAACATACTTGATGGATATTGACTATTGATGCGATATTTGAGAGACGGGAAGAGTTTATTTCCTTCAATAAAAAAATATGCTCAAAATTTTGGGGGGAAAAGTAAGAGAGGTTCAAGAAGATTTCAACAAAGAAGAAGACAAAAGGGTTTTTAGAATTAAGAATAATAGGGATTAGTGCCTTTTTAGTTGAGTTTTTTTTTTTAAAAAAATTAAAAACAAAAAGGACGAAAGTTGTTGACTATTGAACTTTTAATTGTAAAAGTAAAAAGTTGTTCTACTTTTTATAGTTTCTAAGTAACTAAAAGGACAAAAGTCACACCTACATAGAGGACAAAACTGTGTGTGAACGTTTTATATATCAAAAAAACGAATTAAAACTAAAATGTGGCAATGGGGATTCAATCCCGGGTGGGCTGGGAAAATTGAACCCCCTCAACCACTCGGCTAAGCTTCAGACTTGTGTTAGTGGGTTTAAAATTTAATATATACATATAAAATTTTAAAAACTGATTAAATATACATATATATACAATGTTATTTTTCAACGAAGTGGGTTCATATGAACCCACTTGAACCACTGTAGGTCCGCCCCTGGGAAGTAGAGGGGGGTGGGGAAGTAGAGGGATGCGAAGGGAAACAATAGAATCTTTATGTAAATAAAATTTGAGGGTACACGTATAAACAAACATATACTAGTTAATTAATTAACATAGCTATAGTTGCCTTAATTACAATTCACGACCTACTTTTAGCTATAATTACATGACTCAACTTTTTAGTTTTGTATAATTCGCACGTTTGTATAATTCGAAATGTGTATCTTTTGTATAATTTGAAATTTGTATAGTATAATTTGTATAATTATTTACATTTATGATGTTTGTAATTGTATAAATTCGTTATTTCGAGTTTATACAAAAATAACTGAGTTACACTAATCTATCTGCAAATTATACAAATCCGTGAATTATACAAACGAGACAACTTAAACTATAGCTACAACCCGTAAATATGCGAACTATAACTATGAAGCATAATTAAGTTTATTGTAGTGGCTATTTGTGAAAGTTTCCCTTTAAAATTAGTGGCATTAACACTAATCTTAAAATTATCACCTTTAATCAATAATTAAGACTTGTGTATCACTTTTTTTTAAAAATAAAAAATTTGAAGCTTTTTTGTCACTGTTAATTATTTTTCTCAAAAGACATTTTCTTTTTTTCAACACGATTCATTTTCCATCAATAATTTGTTACTTTTCAGAATAATTCAAACACTAGCGGAAATGCATATGCTTTAATTTTATTGCTTTCGAATTAACCATAGGAGAAAGCAATTATGAACATAATTTATATATGATCTCAACTGTAATATCACCAAATTAATTAGTACTTAAATATGGTATCTGCAAAAGGTAAGCAGCACTCGTGTAGACAGAACAATTCCAAGGAAAAAAAGCTTTTTCTTTTGCCAACTTTTGACGCAAATTTCAAAGTTTCAATAATACTATACTTAATTTAGGAGAAAAGGTTATGACCAAATAGTATGAGCTAGCAAGTTAGGAATACAGTAACCAGGAAGGTTATGACCAAATAGTATGAGCACGTTAGGAATACAGTAACCAGGAAGGTTCGTTATATTAACATACAAGCAGAAATGACATACAATATATGATCAATTCAGAATTCACAGCGTCTAAACTCTGAATACTCTATGGTGTGTGTAAGCATCATATTTGGGTGCAAGCACTCTTCTTCCAGATCACTTATAATCTCGGCTCTCATAATTATAGGATCCCTTATCGGTTTAAAGATACTATGTTACTTTCTTTGTCAGCTGCGAAAGAGAAGACAATCTCACAGCAATCATTCGGATTCTGGTGCAGGAAGTGAATCGCAGTTGCAGCCACAACAAAGCCAGCAACAGAGTTAGAGGAGTTGAACAGACGATTCAAAACTCAGCTAATGAAATTGGCTTAAGCAGACAACTATTGCTTGCCTCATTTTTATCGTGTTGTAGCTTAGCAAGTTCTCCCATTCTATAATGTTTACTTTCTACAATCAAGAATGTCACAAGGCTGAGTAAATATGTTGAAGTGGCAGGGTATACATTTTTCAGTTTTTCATTGATGTTCGTGTTGTCTTAATATAAATGGGGCCGTTTACTCTGATACTATGTTGAATTGTCTTTAAAAGCTTTAAATTACAACAACATAATTCCCAATGAAATCCCACATATGGGGTTTGGGGAGGGTAGAGTCCGAAGTGAACTCAGGATTTGAAGACTTCGGGTGCGGATTCGAACTCAGGTCTCATAGGTGGTTCCTCTGCCTTGTACCAGCAGCACAAGAGCACTCCTATGCTCCACATGGGTGCACTATTAATTTTATCCTAGTTTCTGCTTGATCTTTTCCAAAGTTAACGGGTGCACATGTACAACTCAGACAACTCAGTCCCCCTGGTATAGAGAGGAATTAAAAATGGTAAAAATAGGAAAAAGTATATAGAGTGGATTACAAAGTCAACTGATAGTATATTTAGATATTACAATACAAATTAAAAGGAAGATTAACTATAAAAAGAGTTCTAGAATATTTATTTACTTGCTAGTTGCTATGTTGCTGGATCTCAATCTGTGAGGACATGGCATAAAGAATACATTGGCCACTTTTACTCTTATCTCAATGTTGAAAACAGGGCAAATCTGTACCTATATATTGTCACAATTAAAATCTTGAATCCGTCTTTGGTTAAAAACAATGCATCTTGCAAGAAAAAAAGAAAAAGGGTGTCTACATTTAAGCGATTTCAAAATATTCGCAAGCATTCTGTGAAGAACCTTTGCCCTTATTGCTAATGCTAGTGCGTCTCACACGCCACATCTTGAGTACTCCATCAAGACTTCCTGTGCAAACGGTGCAACCATCTTCATTCTCCTCGTTCACTAGTATAGGGAACGCGGCAACACACCTAATAGGCCCTCTATGGCCTTGCAAAATGGCTACACAAACATGTTGACAATCTTGTTGCTCCCTAAACCACACCCTACATGTTGAGTCAGCTGAACCACTGACCAAATAATTAGCCATACTAGCCAAACACATAACAGCATGTGTATGTCCAAGAAGTGCACCTCCATATTGTAATTGCCCTGAAAACCAACCTTTTAACCAATAATGAATGTAACCATCACTACATCCTCCATAAAGCACCCCACCATCAGCAGTTAAGGCTAATGTCTTAACTGGTGAACATTTTGCTGGTAAGGTAACAGTGAGGGAATGTGGCCTATCACCACTACAGAAATTACGACGCCATACACAAACCGTGGCATCATCAGAAGCAGTATAGAGAACACCATCATCACCAACAACAATATCGTTTATCGGATCGTTATGAGCTTGGATTGTTTCTATGCATTTGAGGTCCGAAATTCGCCATACTTTTACTGTTTTATCAAGGGAAGCTGAATAGAGAATGTCATCTGATATGTTAATTGCTAGTGATGATATTGGTCCCATATGCTTCATCTGTCATAATTCATTAAAATACATTAATATTTATATCTATACAGTAGAAGATAATGAACTATTTTGGTTAGACAAGAAACTCAAGGCTTCAAAAATGCATTAAATTAGATGCCTGCAGTGCTTTAATCAGCAAGCTGTAGTTGCATATGTAATAATAAATATGCTACCAACCAACATCAGTTGTGGTGCATTGGTGAGACTGTTTCACCCTTAACCAGAGGACACGCGATCCAAATTTAATTGAATCTCTAATGTGTGCTCCGAACACCAGATGTAAAACCGAAAAAATAAAATAAAAATAAATGTGCTACCAGAACTGTACAAGTCACTGTTTAGTTTGCTGCAATTAATACAGTGCTAGAAATGTCAAAAGCAATAGTGGCTTCAACTTCTTTTTTTTTTAACTCAAACCATATACAGATATTCTGAATAGATAGCTACCTAATGACATAAAGATTTGCACCAGCTGAGGAGTTTTTCTATTTGTCCTTGGGACATAAGCTTTAAAATTGAAAAAGATAGTTCAACTGATTTCCAAAAGGCTTTAATACATAGTCATTCTCTGGATATTTTATTTAGATGGTTGAATTAAGTCTTGTTCCAATCGAACATCTCAAACTTTTAATAAAGTGGTTCAATTAGACACTTTCGATTTAAATTTCTAGAGCATATTTTCATTCGAATTCTAGTAGGTAATTAAGTTAACCACATAAATTATATCATCTCTTTTAGTTATACCGATCAACCTCAAGTAGAAAATGCCTAGGGTTTTACATTTCATTGAGACAAATGCGTATATAATTAATAGAAATGACATAGTTTATATGATTAATTTAACTATCTAATAGACCAATAAGAACACACACGAAAAAATTCAAAATTTGAGCACTACGAATTAATGACTTCGTCAGTTTGCCTGAAATACATTCGAACTAATTTGTATTTATGTAATATGAGATGTATGTGTCTACTTGTTCAACTTTATACAAATTTTCAAATTGAAGCGTACTATGCTAAATAGAATCATATCACATACAAACAAAAAAGTTGTTATATGCATAATAAAATTGCTACAGCCTACAGCATGTTACTCCAGCAGAGTATTACAGTGAGAGAAGCAGTATGCCAATATGCCATCTTACAGTACTGTACCATTAATGTACGCATTAACTTCTAACTACTATGTTCGATTTATATTATCTTTCTTTTAAGATTTTCGCAAAAAAATATTAAATATAGAAAAGTATAATGATGAATAACTGAGGAGGAAAATTACCATTTTATCTCTACCGGAGATATAGCTTCGAACATAACTCCCAACCTTCGGAATAGTTGCAACTCGTACATGCTTGATTACACCTTCCCAAGTCCTACGCCAAACTCGAATCTTACAATCAGCATAGGCTGCGTAAATCATGTCATTCGACACTTGTAACGACACCACCATGGACGATGCCCTCGTCTTCAGATGATCACACTCAGTAAACTCTGGCAACTTCCACACGCGTATTAGATTAGCTTGAGACCCCGTGTATACAAGACCGTTGGATACAGCAACGGACAAGATCTGTCCGTCTTTTTTCAGGACAGAGGAAATGCACCTATAACTCGTTTGATGAAAATCTGGGTGATCGTCATCTACTGACTTTGTTGATGGATTGTTAAGTGTGAACGAAAGACGAGGAGTTGAAGGCTGGGAGTATGTATTGGAAGGGAGTGCTGAAGTGCTTAAACGAGGCGGACTATAGGGAAGTTGTTCGGAGAAATTCAAAGGTTCTTTAGTTGAGATGCTTCGCAAGAAGCTGATGTTGTTGTGATGATTATTATTATTATTATTATTATTAGGTCTTATGGCGAAAGACGGAGCAGAAGAAGATAGTGAATTAGGAGGTTCAAGGTCTATTGGTGAAGCCATTGGTGTCTCTAGTTTGCTACTTCTAAGAGAGGAAGAAATATGCTATAATGAAGAGTTGAAGATTATGATGTAATGTAGTGTTTTTAATGAGTTTTAATGCTTTCACCTATCAACAACCCCACAAATAATATTATACACTGAAGAAAACAACTGTACAAGAGTTTATGTTATGGACATAAATTTTTTTTTTTTGAAATTTCTTAAACTTTTTTTCTTTCAATAACTCAAAACTGCAAAAAAAAATTTAGAACAAAATAGAAAAAGATTTTTTCGTAACAAAAAAAGAAAAAACTGTTTTTAAAAAAGAGAGAAATTTTAGATATATTTATCAATTGAGATCATTTTTAGCTAGAATTATGAGATTGACATTAATTAGGAAATATTATAAAGAAATTATTTGTTATTCTAATCATAGTTAGGACCTTGATTTAGGTAATTAAATCTCAACCTTTAATTTTTAATTATGACGCGTCGCTTCCATCCGAGTAGGAACTTGGGAAAATGGAGAGAATGGATAATGGAGAGGAAACTCATCCATCATAAATAGATCCCTATATTAATCAACAGTTTCTTACATAACTATACATACCTAGGACAAAAAAATCAACAAAAAAGCAGCATGTATATGTAATGTATCGATATTGTATAAATAGTGCATAACTATGTACATATATTATAGATACTTTTGTATTAGAGATGTATTTACATTCATAAATAATGTTTATTCCATATTTACACCTTGCAAATAGATTCCACCCCTAAAACGAACTCCTATTCTTCCTCTTCGTGTTCTATTGTCGTTTTTCATTTTCTTAGTAGCAACCTTACTCTAATATCACGTTGTCATGTCCTTAGTTTTAAACTATAAGCACATGTGTGATACTTGACTACTCGCTCATGTTCTTGCATCTCTTACTTACGATCTTGTTATATATATGCTAAGTCAGTCGAAGACACTGGGAATCTCTAAGAGAATGGTAGAAAGAGTATAAGTGAATATATTGCAAGAAAGAATTGTTTTGTATAGAACTTGGTTGATTTTTTGTGGAATAAGGCACAAGTACCCCTTAGACTATGACTGAAATCCTAGAGACACACCTTAACTAATCTAAGGTCCTATTACCCCCGAACTCATTTCTTTTGTAATTTTGTACACCTTTTGGGTTACGTGGCACACTTTGTGACTCCACTTAGTAGAGGCGTGTGGGAGATGTTTAGAGGCCACGTAGGCTGAAAAGGTGTACAAATTACAAAAAAAATGGGTTTCGGAGGGGGGGGGGGGGATAATAGGACCTCAGTTTAGTTAAGGTGTGTCTATGTGATTTTGGTCATAGTTATACTTTTTTTGTGCATATATTGACTTCTTTTATGAGTGGAAATACCAAGGTTTTTGGGTAGAATGGTGATCATGTATGTATAGGTACACTACATCAAAAATGAGTTTTAGTGGTAATAGTTTAATTGCCGCTAAAGATATGTTTTTAACGATATTTAGTATTCTTTGTAAATGTCCCTAAAGCTTATAGCAACACCGAATCCAATGGAAATTTACTAATGCTAGTAAAGATTATGTCACTCTTTGTTAATGTGTATATTCATTGCCACTAAAAACTGTTTTTGTTATAGTGGTAGTACATAATGTAATACTCAAGAAGAACAATCTATTAATGATCAAGTAAAAAGACCAAATTCAAAGAGTAATAGTTTGATTACTCAGTTGATCATAGAACTTGAGGAGTTGATCAAATTTCAAGCTTGATGAACAAAAGACAATCTCTACAAGATCATTGACATGATCCTAGATAATATCTCACTCATCCTATTAAAGAACATGTTTCCTAAATTCCTAGCTATCTCTTGTGCCTGTTCTAGTTTTGTACCTTCTAAGACCTTGTTTAGGATGATAACTTATTTTTCTATGGTTTGTACTTGTGTAACTATTTTGTTTGTTAAGATCTTCATGAATTTAATGGATTCATTGATGTCGTTCAAACTATATTTTAATTGGGACTAAAGCAATCGATGTCAAAATATAATAACTCAACTAACTACGTTGAGATCGAATTTCATAGGGAATATTGTTGTAAATTTTTATAATTTGGTATTAAAATTCTAATAGTAACTAGTATTGGAGATTGGGGGTTTAAGTGAGAAATTACTAACTACTTTAACTTCTAAGATTTTAACCAATAATATAAACTAGGGTTACAATTCTTAGATCATGGAACTCAAACAAATAATCTAATATCAACTCATTCAGGTGTGTTCATTGTGAAAAACTAACAAATATATATGTCTGCTAAAGCCTGTTGGTCAAATTAAAAGAATATCACCCTATGTCCTTGTCGGCACTTGAATATTAAATTAATTTGTTCATTTATCAAAAGCCTCAGTTTAGCTACCATATCACTATTTGAAGCTATTAGATGTAGGTTGGTATCTCCAAATATTTGTTAATAATTTTTTTCCTAATCTTAACCTCTTCTGTCAAGAAAGTGATCAGAATACGAGCGAGTTCTTAATATTTGCAACCATTAAAAAAATAATCTTTACAAAAGAACCTTAATACACAATGGCCATCCTTCCATGATATGTTTATATACAAACAATTAAATCTATCATCATCATCATTTTTGTTCTAAGTTCCATAACCCATGTTATGAGCTTAGCTACTCATAACTAGTTGTAAATAATAACTATTACACAATCCGTTTAAAAAAATGACTTACTTTTTTTTTAGTCTGTTTCAAAAGATGACCCCTTTCCACTTTTTAAAACACTTTAATTTAAGCTTTCCACGTGACATATTTAAGGCCACAAGATTAAAAGACATTTTGGTACATTCAACATGACTTTAATTTAGGACCGCAAGATTAATTGATGTCTTCTTTATTTTCCTAAACTCCGTGTCAAGTCAAATTGATTTTCAGAATCGGTAAATTCCAAAGAAAAATCACCATTTTCAACATGATCATGAATAAAATGATGCTTAATATCAATATGCTTAGCCCTAGAATGATGCACAATATATTTAGATAAACTAAAAGTGCTGGTATTATCACAAAAAAATAGGGACAGACTCATACAAAAGATCATAATCAAGAAATTGATGCATCATCCATAATAGTTGAGTACCACAGCTTTCCACAATTAGATATTTCGATTCTGTGGTAGATAAGGCAACCAAAGGTTGTTTCTTACTGTAAGAGATCAAAGATTGACCTAGAATTTGGCAAGTACTACTGGTGCTTTTTCGATTATTCTTTGACCTAGAATTTGGCAAGTACTACTGGTGTTTTTTCGATCATTTTTGTCCCATGCAAAATCAACATCTAAGTAGCCAATTAAATCAAGTGAGAGGAGTGAGGGTATCATAATCCCAAATATGTAGTTCCGATGAGATAACAAATGATTCGCTTTATTGCAGTAAGGTGAGATTCTTTTGGAGCAGACTGAAAACGTGCACACTTGCACACGCTAAACATAATGTCTGGTCGACTAGCAGTTAAATAGAGTAGAGATCCGACCATTCCTCGATACATTTTTTCAGTATTGATACATTCTAGTTTCAAACACTTAGAGTTAGATTGGGGTTTGTCCTAGCAACTTATATTAGTAGCGGCTTTCAGACCATCAGTTTAATTCTTCTATGTTATGTTGTCTTTCAGATATTAGTCAATTATGGGTTCTATTCAGATAATTCAGTTTTATCTTTCACATGTATATCTTAGTTTTGTGTTGATTTTTGTATTCTTAGAGTAATGTCATGCCATGAGGCTAGCTTTAGGTCACTTGTGTCTCTAAGCACTATATCACATCTAGGGGATAGTCTTAGGGCTTGACAGTCGTGTGATTGCATTTGTGTCAAAGTGGCTTTAGGTGCATCAATGAAACTACCCCAATCATGAGTTGGAGTTGATATCGATAGTGTTTGAGCTTAAGATTTGGAGGAATTATTTGTACGGGATCCGACATGAGATCTATACTGATCACAAGATCCTGAAGTATATTATGAGCCAAATTTTCTTAATTCGAGGCAGCATAAGTGGATATCTTTAAGGGCTACGATCTCTCTATTCTATATCATTCGGGCAAGGTGAATGTGGTAGCGGATGCCTTGAGTAAGAAGGTTGTGAATATGGATAGTTTAGCCTTCCTTTCAGTTTCGGAGTGTAACACCCCAGAGAATTTTCGAACTAAGACTCGAGCCATCCTTCATGTGGAGTGGGATTTTACCGAGGAATAAAAAATTTCTTGAGTGTTAAGTTAAGGTCCCTAGGTGTAGCACATTGAGTTCCAAGAAGAGTTGAATTGGAAATAGTCATTTTGGAAAGAATCTGGAAAATTTGGCTATGGAAAAAAGGTGAGTTTTTGGTCAACTTTGAGCAGTCGTATCTCCTAGCTCAAAATGATTTAGGCGAATTTCCAGTTATGTCTGGAAAGCCCTTGGAATGATCTTTCCAACGCCGCCGAGTTTGCTTGATTCCGAGTTCGTATGAGTGACTTATGCCCTTTGGAAGTTGGGTTGTTGGCACAGTCGCACAGTCGCACAGTGCAGTTTGTTTAGTCCGAAAATTTTAAGGGTATTTTGGTCTTTTCCCTAATCTTTTCTTTGGGTTATATTGAGGTGTTAGACTGATGTTTGGATCATTTTTGTCCCATTTTAAAGAGTGAGAGTAAGAGTGAGAGTTAGGGCTTGGAAGATAAGAGAGAAAGAAGAGGAAAAGAAGAGGAGAAAGAGAAGAAGAAGCTAAGGATCGTCGTGGATTTTTGTCGGGGGTGATCCCTAATCAGGTATGTGAGCTTTTAGTGTTGGGTGATCCTTTCCCCCACACACCTAACCCCTTTTATTCATTAAGAAAGGATTGGTTTTGTTGTTAAAGTTGTGAGTTGTTGTGGTTGAAGTTGTTAAAGTTGTTAGTTGTTGTTGTTGAAATTATAGCTGGTATTGTTGTTGAGATTCTTGATGATTTGGGACTTGTTTCCGGTTGGGGTTTTGA